CTTCGAGGACGCGAAGGATCTCAAAGAGTTTGTGCGATAGAGGCGGAACCAAAATCGGAATCAAATACAGGCACCCCTGTGCCGCGAAGCAGAATTGCCATGGCAATTTGATCAGACAGCCACAAGGCTGACAAATGTAACTTTACTGTGTAATAGACAACGAAACGGTCAGGTTACAATGCTGCATGTGGATCGACCTGCAGGTTAAGTCCGGCTGCTGTAGGACATTTCCGCCGTGGGATGCTTTAGTATCGGCCGGATCTTCTTTACTCGTATTCTCGTGATGTGTCCGTATGGATAGTTATCATCTCGGAGATATGAGTTCGTTCGTCGTCCGATCCCTGGACATTTCGCTAGAATAAGCTTGATGGATGACAACTTCGGATACAAAGTCACAAAACCACGTGGTTTTGCGCCGTTGATTAATCCGGCTTAGTGGTAAACAGCCACGGAGGCTGGTATTATTGACAAGCCTGACGTTCTAAATGACACTTCGATTTCCGACCGAGCGCCGAGCACACCCTTCCGAGACAATAGAACAGTGGTGATTGGTTCAATGGTCAAAGGTGAACAGCTTGTAGCATCCCTCATTCCAATCCAGAGTCTCTCGGGCTTCGCGTTTTCATCTCAAGACCGAGCCATAAAGTCCCTTTCCGGGACCCCCACCCCGGAACACGGCTCCGGGCTGGGGTACGAGGCGGGATCTTGCAGCCAAGGCGGGTTCTCATGAAGAAGATGATTTTGAAGATGCCAAGAGTCTTGATCAGGAACATTGAACCTATGAAGAATCATGAGGAGCATGAGCCTGGCCATTCTCCAAGTTTGCAGAATTAATCACTCTACTGGCCTAGGAGTAATTGAAGAAGCTCCCCTGTTGCACGAAAAAGATGATCACCTAGCTGTAAATGGGATGAAGCCTCACCGACTCTCCAAACGCTAAGCGAAGATCAGCAACCAAGTTCTCCTCGCTCACTTGAAAGTTGAAACCGCACTGGTTGATTGATCTAAGACGGGGTAAAAGCGACTGACCTAGCGGCCGATATTCGTTTCCGTGAATCACAAGCGCACGTTCCCACCGCGAGACTCCCAAATGACACTGCGACAGGCGACAAGCTCACAAAGCTAAGAGATGACTACTCAAGTACATTCGTCACCACAACAGCTGGCCATACCTTAGTTGAGCCGCTTGGAAGCAAGCGGTCCAACCTTTCCCCATTCTCTGCCTAACGGCTTAGGTTTTCACATTTCTCGAGTGGACAGAGGGGCCTTCGGCCGGTAAGTCGCTTGTTATATCCGGCCCGCTAAGCTAAGGGTCGCCTACCCCTCCCCAGGATCTTGGTATCCAGAATTGCGGTGATCCAGAAGGGCATGGCGTTTAGAACCGAACATGGGTTTGTCTGGAGTCTTCTGCATTCTCCGAGTCTAACCCCCCAAAACAATCTTGTTTCTTTACGCTTGAAGGACGAGAACTGCGCGAGAGGAGCTTATGCCAACATTTGTTGATTCCATGTCTATGTTCGATTAATAATTGTCCGTCACTTGAGCCGCACCATGGAACTTGTCGTGGAGTGTGGAAATACTTTCTTCATTCGGATATAGGCAGGGCCACAGAGAATAAGAACAACACGAACTGCTGCTACTGATCGTGCTGGTATTACCTTGGACTACTTGATATAGTCCCATGTTTAGCCGACCAAGAAGCAAGCAATCTCGTTGAGCTATTCACCGACGATACGAAACGACGCGATAGTTCGCCCCACAAGCATTGCTCGCACCCAAGGGGCCCAAGGGAGTTTCTTTTCTAATCTCATCAAGGAACTTTTCGCCAACAAGATCTGCGCCCACGGACTGAAAGGCGGCGCTGGCCATCGACGCTTCACTCGAAGCCACTTGAGAGAAAATATCGAGAAAGGGAGCAATACAAACCAATACGAAGCGGCAACCCGTCCGTGTCACAAAAGTTCGCTGAGGAAAACAGTCGCAACAACACCAGTTCAACCCCAGAATCCACGGCCATGCCGCGCTCTCAACACGCCCTCTCAACATCGTCCAACTCGTCAACCGTCATGGACAGGTCCACCGCGCCCGCAGACCCAGAAAAGTCGGACCACATCCCCTACGAGTCCTCCTCCTCCGCCCGCCAATCCCTAGATCGCATTCCCTCGCAGCAGCGCGACACCGAGGCCAACATCTACCCAGAACCCGCCAACGTCGTCGAGGCCGATCTCGAAAAGGGCGGCTTGGCGCACGCGACAGCAACGCAAGATGCCAAGGCCGATGGCCCGGTCGGTGGTGATGCACCGTCACCGCCCGCGGCCGGCCCGCCGCCGGGGATGAACCCGGCTGACTTTCCCGACGGCGGCGCCCAGGCTTGGCTTGTTGTCTTTGGAGGGTGGTGCGCGCTGTTCTGTACTTTTGGGTTGATCAACTGCGTCGGCGTCTTCCAGGCGTATTATGTGTCTGGTCCCCTCAGCTCGTATCCTTCGTCGACTGTCGCGTGGATCACCAGTCTGCAGGTCTGGGTAATGACCTTTATGGGCGTCATTGTAAGTTTCCCCCGGAGAGCCTCTTCGCCGCTGTCTCGATAGCTGACGATTCGCTCTAGTTTGGCCGTTTGTATGACACATTCGGCCCCAAGTACCTCCTCTACTGCGGTACCGTCGTCTACGTCTTCGGTCTGATGATGACCTCGCTGTCAACGCAGTACTACCAATTCATCCTCGCCCAGAGTCTCGTCTCGTCCATCGGCTCGAGCGCGTGCTTCAACGCCTGCATGTCGTCCGTGACCTCGTGGTTCTTCAGGAGACGCGCAGCCGCATTTGGCATCATGGTCTCCGGCTCCTCGCTCGGCGGCGTCATCCTACCCATCATGATGTCCAAGATGATTCCCCAGGTCGGCTTTCCATGGGCCATCCGCGCCGTGGCATTCCTGTTTCTGTTCTTACTCGGTATCGCGTGTCTGACAGTCAAGTCTCGGCTGCCGCCTCGCCCGCGCCCATTCGTCTTCAAAGAATACGTCGATGGTCTGCGTGAGCCGCCCATGGCTATCACAGTATGCGCATTGTTCCTCTTCTTCCTCGGCATGTTTTTGCCTTTCAACTTTGTCATCCTCCAAGCGCGTGCGCAAGGTATGGATGAGAACCTCGTCATTTACCTTTTGCCCATCATGAACGCTGTCAGGTAAGCACCTATCGCCATCATCATCTATACCATGTTACTAACAACGCGTAGCATCCTCGGTCGCATCGTTCCCGGCATTGTCGCCGACAAAGTCGGTCGGTACAACGTAATGATCTGCATTACCTTCATCAGCGCAATCTTCTGTCTCGGCCTCTGGATCCCAGGAAAGAGCAACGCCGCAATCATCGTCTTCCTCATCATCTTCGGCTTCTCCTCCGGCGGCTTCATCTCACTAGGCCCGGCCTGCATTGCCCAAATCTCCGACATTAGACAGATTGGCGTCCGCACCGGGACCGCGTTCGCCGTTCAGTCCTTTGGAGCCTTGGCTGGTAGCCCTATTGCCGGCGCCATTGTCGCGTCGCAAGGAGGCACCAACTATCTTGGGCTTCAGCTGTTCTGCGGCTTCTCGATGCTGGCGGCGGTTGGTGTTTTTATCGCGGCAAGGACTGTGCAGGTGGGATTCACGCTGAAAAAGGTTGTTTAATGGGAATTACGCTGGGTTGGAAGCGAAAGTCTAATCCTGGCATACTGCATGTCAGCAGGAGAATGAGAGTTTACCGGCCGATATGTCCGCAACCCCGATCTCCGCTCTAATCGCCGGCTCCGTTCCGGCGCCGTTTATGAGCCGTGCCCGATCCTACCTCATGATCGGCTGCGCGTCTTTCTCCCGTGTCCGGTTGCATGCGAGGAAACATAGAAAGAAACAATGGCAAAAACAATGATGAAAGAGAGTTTACATAGAATATTAGTTAATGGTGGAATAAACAACGTTGCTGTCTACAATACCTCTGGGCTTGATTCCCTACGTACACATCCCATGTAAGCTCACGCTTCTGTAGCTAAGATGTGGCTAACGAGAGGCGACAGAGAATTTTGTCAATGAAGCTTCAGCGATTGCAAGCGATATGGCCTCGACCAGTTTACATGTAATCATTGAGACGGAGTTCCCCATCTCTGCGACTCTTCGGAGCTCCGGAAGACCGCAAAGACTGCGGCTTACAAGGTCTTAATTAGATTTGAACGAGACAAACATCCTCCATAATACAAGAATTCAATGATTTAAGACCAGTTGAGATTGTTTGATCTCTCGCTTCATGTCTTGAGCTCCACCACTGTGACCTTCAGTTGCCATCTACAAGGTCTTGTACAGGCGTAGTCTCGACTTTTGGGAAATCTCTCTCGAGCTTACGACGGGAGCCATCCAAAAGTGAGCATGACCACGTGCACAATCTAGCCCGACGGGAAGAATGAAGCTCTGTTGCATCTTTTTGATTACAACCTAAGCGAGTTCTTGCAGGATCGCGATTGATTCCTCTAAGCGGTCTCGAGATCATGTCGAGTCATTAGCGATGGAGAACTTGTTGCCTTGCAAAAGTTAGCTTTGATTTGTGACCCAAAAAGGAATTTTGGAATTACCTTTGATGCCTTCTGCGACTTGGACAAGACGGTTGTAAACGGTCCTGTCGTCAATGGGGTGGGTAGCTCTTGGAATGTGAAATGACACTCTGAAAAAGGGCGACATTGAAGCAAGCAATGCCACACGTGTGGTCAAAGAGGGTGGGACTATCCTCTGACTCAGGGATCGACGCAGCGTTGATAGCGGTGTTGACAAAGAACGCCATTTGTTCGAGGTAGGAGGCAGGGCAGCATAAGTCGGGTAAGTAAGTGGTCGCGGAAGTGTCCGAAAGTCACTCGCCCCAGTGAGATCAACTTCATCCTCGTAATGGCCGTTTTCTTTCTAATAATAGGAAATATTGACGCCCAGGCCATAGGTATTACGCAGATCTGAGTGATGTTTATGAGTGAGTTGATGCGGTCCCCTAGATTGGCGACGATGCAAGGTAAGGGGGAAAGGTTGAGACTCCATATTCGGGTAGGTAAGGGACGCCGAAATGGCTTGGTATGAACCTCCTCGTTGTCTTCGATCTCTCAGCAGCTACAACGAGATTTAACTCTGACTGGCTTTCCCTGGTAATGTTGTAGACTGTTGAAATTACGGTGTCGACATTGTATTTTTCAAGGACGGCCGTGAGAGAATCAATATCAGAATAGTCTACAGCCACGAAGCGAACATTTGGGGCTGCGCCTCCGGGTTGTCCTGAGACCTAGGTGAGAACATGACTGTTAGTATTGAGTCTTATTGCTAAAATGCATGGACCATTGTCTTGTTGATAAGTACCTTTCTCGTCAGCACGATAACCTCATGAGTTCCTTGGGCCGAAATAGCTTCAACAAGATCACGGCCAGGGCCGCTGATTCCGCCAGCAATTGCCACAGCCATATTGGTCTTATCTTTCGTTATCTTACTTTCAACGAACAAAACCTTTCCTCAGTGATGGCGAAGGGGCCCAGAAAATTCAGTCTCTCCACACTGTTCGAACTTTTCGTCCTATATATGTTTGTGGATCAATGACGGCGTGTATCAAGAGCCTTGCTCATGCCAAGAGTGAAGACTCATCTCGCTCTTCGGACAACGCCAAGACGTCCGTCACATGGCAGTATTGCGGCTAGCAGCGTCATGAACCGGAGATTAAGGACAAGATTTCGGAAGCGCAAGAGTCTGAGCAGGCCATGACCAACTAGCTTAGAAATTCAACTCGGCAGCTTCCGTTAACATGGTCTGCCCCGAGTTTAGCGGTGGGATGTGCAGCTGTCGCGGACACGGGATCTCGAAGGTTTCGGGGCTCTCGGGGACCGAAGACTCTTTTGGCCCGCCCCTCCCGGCGGAGATAGATCGTTCGCTTTTACGCGATCCCAATCGTAAGTCTTCTTGACTCAAAAGTTCGGTTGTCTGTTCTTCTAGGAGAGTTTTATTCTGTTTGTTACAAAACCAATACAATAGTATGGTACTCGACTCTATGTGTCTATCGTTGATCTCGCACCCAGCCGCAAGCCTCGAGCTGGGATAGCCTGGTGAAATCCGACTAGAAGAAGCCCATGACCTGCTCCCCACCAAACATCATCTCCATGTCCTGATTAGACTGCCCGTGTTCAGCCGCCAAATGATAATTGCCCGCCATAGCATTAGCCGGATAAAATTGGGTGAGCCCCAGGGTTGACAGAGACGGGACAGACGCCCAATCTTGCTCGCTGCTTGTCTGGATGTGCTTTTCTGCAATCATATAGAGCTGTCGAGTAATGTCATAAAAGTCCTTTGCAGAAGGTGATAGATCGGCCCCATGCTCAAGGCTGTCTGCAAAGCATTTGAGTCGTTGCGTGTCGCTCGAATCTTGAGTCTCGACTATGTGGCAAAATACCACCAGGAGTGGAATAAAAGGGGTTTGGAGTAGTCTCCTGAACACACAATGGCACCTGTCAATTCCACAACGGATGATCTAGAAAATCGGCATGAATAGTGGTATTGGGCTTACCAATGGAGGTAGAGATTCACAATATGTAAGTCGCCGCTCATCAAGGGGACGCACTCAAGATGGGCGTCAATTGTCGAGCGTGCATATGCCAAGCAGTCCGGTGAGAAAGATGGCACAGAAGCTCGAGAAGTTCTTGCCCTGCATATCAGAGTTCCTGTCGTATAGTACATGACTTTGGCGGATATCGCAAGGACATTATCCAACTTCGTCGTTGGTTCGGTACTATTGGCAGGGGAAATCCTTGAGTTGACCTGATTGTACGTTACCATCATCATACTTGAACTGAGTAACAAGCTCCACGGTCGTACATACCAGATTAACGGGCTCTATCAACTTGAGATCAGCAAGCAGGCTATCTGCTCGCTCGGATAAGTCTTCCTGGGAGACAAGCTGTGCGCTTCGACTGTAGAGCAGATCGTAAATTTTGCTGTGAATTGACGCATTCTCGACCCAGAACGGCACAACTTTATCCCACAGCCTTGGTAGACAGACCAGATTGAGCCCCTTGGGTATGTCAATATCAGAGTCTCTAATCATGGAGGCTCTGCCCACGCGCAAGGCAATACTCTTTTCCAACCCGTAGACGTGCCAGAACAACAAGGCTTTGACGTTTCTCGTACTTTCGTCATCAGCAACAATAAGACTCTCGTCATGAAAGCCTGCAGCCATGCAAAGCTGCGCTGCGAAGCATATCAACCTCCATGCCAGCCACGGTTTTGCCATCTCGATGGCGTGCGTTGTCTGGGTTGTTAGTGTGGAACAAGGTCAACATATGATGGCGTGACATACGCCGAGGATCAATGCTTGTACGTTTTTGGCTTTTGCAGATAAACTGGCATCTATCGTTGCTACTGCGGCCGTGAGAGCGTCCCTGCACATTGCCCCCCAGGCGAGAGACTGTTTCCGAGGCTCAGACTGTCCCACACTGGGGGGGCAAAAGTACTCTGTGAAAAGAGAATGCAGGCCCGAGTTCACTATAATGAAGTCAATGGCAGTATAGTCGTCGACGGAGAAGTAGACGTTCCGGCAGAGGTCAATGAAGTCCGAACATGGGAGAAAACACCTCAAAACAAAAAAACTGCTGGGAGGGTTGTCTATCAACTCACAATTCTTAGCAAAGGACTTTGGACAATGACTTTGACGCAAGATACAAGTTGATCCACGTACCTTTCAGTTGTCTAAGCACACCAACGACAGCGGCTATTGGCGGCAGAGGCATGTTTCGGTAAGTTACGGGCTTCTGGGCTAAGTGTCGTTGGGAAGATCCTGCTGGGCTCTGAGATCCCACGACTCTATGCGCACTAGCAACGACATTCACGTAGCATGAGGTTCCCAACTCAATGGCCGCACTTTCTGTGAGTCTTCTTGTTGCTGCCATCTGGAATCTCAGTGAGGAAGGGCCTTCAACCGGCGGAGCTTCATCTCCTGCATCATAATCTGTGGCGACGTGAGGCGTATCCTTTACGGAGAGCGGCACTTCTAAAGGGGCCTTTTCAGGGGTCAGCCCCGAGCATGAGCATTGTGTTGACGCCGCACTCTGTTGTTGTTTGAGCAGCAAGGACTCAATATTTGCTAAGCGTTTATCCAAAAGGTCAATCTTCTCCTCGCTGCGAGCCTATTAGCCTGGAAGATGCTGCGAGGGAAGGAAAGGCTTGATCGGGAAACACACTACTGCAGGGATACATGAACCCTCTGGCGGGGAACCTTGGGCTTCTGACCAGCGCCAGTAAATGTGCAGTCCTGTGACGACTGTCGACAGTTGAAGCAAGGTACGCTTTTGTCACATCGAACCTATCAGAGTGGCTGTTAATGACTGGTGTTGATCACAGAGACAGAGACACTGATGCAGAAACTTGTGCCCCTAGAACATTGCTGCGTCTCATCTTGGAATCATTGCAACACGTCCACTTACTTTGCGCAACCGGCATAAGTCACACTAGACACATTTCTGTTAGATATGTACTTAAGTAGGACCACAATCGATCTTTGCTTACCGCAGTTGCCCTTGAGTCCATGTCAGCTATTCGGGCTTGAATGCAACTGCCTCAAGCTGTGTCGAGTTGTTGGGGCAAGAGTCGTGGAATCTCCTTCGGACTCCTCGGCCGCCATTGCCTGGACTCAGTGACATCCCGTCGGTGGGAGTGTAGTATCGGCCTCCGAGGAGACCGAGCAGGGATGTGTGCACAAATTTCCATTTCCGTCTGTGGGCCAGATCCGAGATCTGAACGAGCAAGGGGTGCGGAGCAGTCCGCCCGGCGCTCGGCCCTCAACTCGGCGCCGGCTGCAGACCTTGGGTACCAGTCATCTGTACTATTCATTGGTGCCATTGTGCTTGCCTGTCAATTAAAGTCAGGGTTGCTTATCGGGTGGTATTGTTCTTCGTAGAATACAGGCTGACTGGTCAGCTTTCAGCTTATTATTTTGGCTAGCTGCCTTATTCTCTTGAGATTGTAGCAATACTCCGTGAGAAAGAAATCAGTGAATTCTATGAACAACAAGGTCCAGTCTAGAGATGCCCTTGTATCCCGGTGATATCGACTGAACTTTTCTAAGTTTTGACTCCTTTGAGGCCACCCGGCTCTACAAAGAGTATTGTTTAGTGTGTCTCATCGATTTAAGTAGAACCAACGCCGTGTGACAACTTCCTCGTCACGGCAAACTGCGCTGATCAAAACGTGTAGGATCCTCGGCAACGATTGGCTGATGAACAGTCTGTTCTATGGTATCGGCTGAGATGAGGGCACCAAGATGTTTGGAGCGGGTGACTCGTCGCTTGCTGTCTTTGATTCAGCTGCAGGTACGAGAGGTGTTCTAGACAACCCCGATCAAAGGTTCCCCTGTCTCGTGGAAGAGTCAGCTGGACCGAAATCGGGTCTTCGAATTAGCGATCAACGCAAACATTGAGTCAAGATCATGGGCCCTTCGGGTTTGAGGAAGCTCAAGAAATCGCACTCGTCGGCTAAGAATGTTATTTTGCTGGCAGGAAGGGTTGAAGCAAATGAATGGGACGAATTGGACTGTATCTAGACACGGTCATTATGACGCTGTTGTTCTCAACCCCTCAGCAATTAGCAGCAAAATCCGACAGAACACATTCCAAATCCGTGTGGTTGACTCATTCTGCATGGCGCTAAATGCTGACTTCAGCTGGTCAAAGACTGGCGGCGGGGATGCGATGTGGATTGACGGGGATAAACTTAAAGAGCCTGGTCTGTCCAAAGCTTCCATCATCATCAACATTAGTTGCCTGAAGAAAGTCCATTCTAACATCGACGACACTGTATCAACAGGCTCTTATGGCTTCACAAATGAGTACCGCGGACCTTGTCAATCATTTGAAGGCGATCTACGCTTCGTATAGACATACCGCGGATATCGATGCGAAGGGGATCTTTTTTTCTCCATCTTGCTACCAAATATGTCGCCCAAACCCCTCGTTTGCTGCGCACAATCGTGAGACAATCGTGCGCTACCTGCACGAGTATGCACCCAAAGACGAAACCGGGGCATCGGGGTCAAGTGGAAAGCCAGCGAAGAAGGGATACTATACGATACGATCACTCGAAAAAGAGGAGTTTGAGTTCGGCGCCGACGAGCAGACTGCTCCTGCCGGCTTCTCTTCAGCGTCGGAAGTAGAACAGAAGGCCAGAAGAGAGGGGTGGGTGGGATTGAGGGTTGATCTTTGGGATGAATCGCCAGGTCATGGAACAGACAGAGAAGAAGACCTTTTGGTCAAGGTGCAGTACTGGTGGCGTAGAGAGGAAGGCAACTGGATGCAAATATTTCACGACATTATGTACATGGGTCCGCGTGATGGGAGTGAAGGGGTTGATGCGGAGGTCTTGGAATGACATTCAGACTGCGAGACAAGAATGGATGACAGGTAACTCAGACGAAGGGTAGCTTGCTGGATGTCTCAAATTGTTCGGCTGGAGTTGGCTGTCGAAGTTTTTCGTTAATTTCATACCACTCGATTCCCATGTCTCAGAATGGTCCGTTCTGTTCTGGAATCATTCAGCATGGTGAGAGGGTTAGAAACAGGCTTGTGTCGCGGACTGGGAGATAAGGCCGCTTGGTATGTACATCCTCCTCAAAATCATTGACATTTCCTCGTCTAAAGTATGTCGGCATGGATAGTACGCTTGTGTCCACTGTTATGTCCTGAATTTGGTCAACAGATACGCTACAACGAGTGAGAAGAACTATCATTGACTGGCGAGGAAATTTACCAGACATTGTTACTTATGAACCAAGTTTAGAGGTAGTGTAATTACCAAGTGTCTCACTGTGTACAGTACAGTCACCTCAGCTTCAAGTGTATCACAGGTTGGCTCCACCTCCAGTGCTCTCATCTGCTCGGTTGATAGTTCCAGAATCCATGCCTGTCTCTCGTTGAACTTGACCAACATTGTCTTAGATTGAAATTTGACAGGAGTTCTAGACGATGTCAGGATCATTCAGATCCTCTCTGAGCGATATTTCGGTCCATTTCATACCAGAATCACCCCGAGATGAATGTTGACTTTTCTGACTTGACCACAATTCACCACAGTGGGAGAATCCATCATGGGCTTCCGAGCTTCCCTAACCTTCACTATTGGCGTGTTAACTCTAACATGCAGAGCACAGAGTCCGATCCCCGAGGATCAAGATCCGTGTCTAGATCCTGGGGTCCTTGCCTCGAAATGGTTTGACGACAACATGATCCGGCCAAACTATGTTCCAGCAACGACGGAAGAAAAGCCTAGTCAGTGATACCCAATGCATTCTTTTCGCAGAATATATTCCACGAGCGGTGTAGGAGCCTGTAATGTCGTTAAGTAACACATGCGAGTATAGTTGTTGCTCAGAGAATCTTCGACCAGCCCCAGACTTCAGAGACTGGCAAGTCTTATGTGACTAGTCTGGAGCAGACCAGCGTGCTCTACATGACGGGAGTCATTGTAGACTTACTGCAGGCTGATGTGCAAAAGACTGGAGCACCTGAAGACTTGCCACGGTCCCTCGGAACAGGTTATAATAGTGCCATTCTTGTCGTAAGATCTATAGTATCCTCGGGCCTTGCGTGATCTTACTAGATGGCTGACTTTGAGAAGGGCGAAAGATCAACACTACGGCTCTCTGGTCGCATCGAAACCCACAATGGCGCAATCAACCTGTATGCAACTGGAGCTGGGACGACGGTCACCCTGGAGGCACCCCAACTGTACAGTAGCGGCCCGGGAGCCATTGGTCTTTTTGCCATCCGGGGTGCCAATTTGGATGTCACCAATCTCCGCCATTGCTCGGGCGGCTACCGATCACCTACCCTCGCGGGCCTCAACATCAACAGCCGTGGGGGCGTCGCCCACACTACCAACCCGGGGTCGCCATTGATTTACTCACTAGGGCGAACCATGTCATCCAATCTGACCGGCTGGGCCGACGCGTCCCCTGCCATAATCATGGAGGGACCTCAGTATGTACATCTAAATGGTTCAACCATCACTTCGGGAACCATCAGTGGTTTCCTGTTCTTCGATTGGTCCATCACGGCTCAACATGATGCCGGCACGTTGGAGGCGACGTCCCTCAATCTGACGGTCCGCGAGGGCCCGGCCTTTTACCTGGCAACATTTTCTGCCGAGATCATTCTAATGAATGCAAGGATATACAATCCTTCAGGAATTCTGCTTCTGGCGGATACGAACACAGCATCCCGGGACCTTGAGAGGGTCGAGCCGCAGCTTTGGAGCGGGAGTCCAATCTCTTCCAACTCTTCCCTGACGCTGATGGGCTCGGAAGGCATTTCCGGAGATATCGTCACCCGGGGTGGTTGTACCGTCACTGTCAATCTTCTGGCCAACAGCACGTGGCAGGGCTCCGCCAATGCATCTCTCATCAATAATCGTGGGGGCTTGACAGTGCAGATTGACGATACAAGCACCTGGATCGTAGCAAAGAACTCGTTCGTCCGAGGTCTGTCAGTCGTTGGTGGGGATCTTGGACGCCTCAAGGACCAGGGGTACACGGTTGCGTATGATCAGAAAGCCGCAGAGAGCTCCTGGCTCCAAGGCCGGACGTACACTTTGCAGAACGGAGGAAAGCTTCAGCCGTGGAATTGAGCTGATAGCTGGCTGTTCTTGATTACCGATACAGAATGTTTTGCGATAGAACGAGTCATGGTGAGGAGATTGGAAGTCGGTGTTTGGTCATCCGTCTCTGACATTTTGCATTTGAAATCGAAGAATGGCAAATAGCACAACGTAACATGTCGGATCCGAGCAACGTTTTGCCCAATTGAAGGAATTTTTTAAGCTTTACGTACTCCTTGTCGACCCTACCCACCGTTCAAAGGCCGTGTTCCACAGGATCCATCTCGGCTAATCAGCCTAGTGGTTGTGAAGATCGAGGTAGGGACTTTTGGCGATGGCGCAATTGCTGTTATGTACGGGATTGGTGAAGAGACTTTTCTGCAACACAATGGTGTTTGTTTGCCACGAAGAACTCGGGAACTTCTGCCGCTTACTATGGCACAATATGTGAACACGCTCTCGCCCGAGTCGCCCCTATGAGATGATTGAACCGAGTCGCAGTGGGATGGCACTTTTGCCGCAATACGATGCAGTGCGCCGGCGATCCTGCGGGGCATTTCGAAAGGCCCCGTAGGGTTACATTCCTAGAATCGAAAGCCACCTTCAGAAGCCGCATATCCGCTTAAGCTCGTGCCATCGCGCGACGCAGGTAATATAAAGATGAAAAACGCCGATGACACCATCGCAATGGCTCCGCCAACTAACTGTAACGGTCGACTGACCTCCCACATTCGGGAGTTGTCTAGAGTCAGTAACGGCGAGTGGGCGAAGCAGTTGAACCATGGACGACTTCTTGTTATAAGTTGCGACGCCCAGCTGTCGGAGGGTTGCGTTCGGAAGAAGAAGGTCCCTGATCCCCAGAGGCTTGGCCAACTTGGCTCCCGTGTGGCGTTCTCTTCCAAGCATCTTGGCGATCAGCCGCCCTGAACGACCTCCACCATGTCTCCATCCCAAAACCAACAACAACAGGCCGCCGGTGAGCCAAATGCTGGCGGTCTTCACGATGGCGACGCCATTTCTGTCGACTCTCCCAGCAACGGCACGCCCGAGAAGCGGTCCGGCGAGCCTGCTGCTCCCTACACTGAGAGCGACATGGAGAAGCCGCCTTTTGTATTCACGACCAAGGCCAACGGCGAAGAAGAGGCCTTTGACGAAGACGACCCGAGACTGAAGGACATCCCGGCCTACGTGCGCCGCATCGTTTCGCTGCACGACGACCCGGATTTGCCCTGTCTTACGTTCCGATACTTCCTCCTCACCATCATTTTCGTTATTCCCGGCGCGTTCCTGTCGATGATGAGCCATTTCCGCACGACGTATGCGCCCTACTCCATCTTCTTCGTCCAGATTGCCTCGAGTTACTGCGGCGCCTGGCTTGCCAAGATCTTGCCGGCGTGGGAGGTCAAGGTCCCATTCACCAAATTCAGCTTCAACCTCAACCCGGGGCCGTTCAACGTTAAAGAGCATGTCCTGATTACCATTTCCGCGGCATCGGGCGCTACCTACAACTTGGGATACACCCCCGTTGCGATGGCCGAGCTTTACTTCAACTCCAAGATTCATCCTGCGGCGGCAATTTTCTTCATGTGGGGCATTGTGTGGACTGGCTACTCGTTTGCCGCACTGGCTAGACAGTTCTTGATCTACGATCCTCAGTTCCCGTGGTTTACGGCGCTTTGCCAGACCGCCCTGTTCGAGACGCAAAAGAAGCAGCGCGAGGCCCCGACGGCTTCGTCCCGCAAGCAGACGAGAGTCTTCTTCTGGGCTCTCCTCGGTATGACCATGTGGCAGTTCCTGCCCGAGTACATCTTCCCTATGCTCGGATCTCTGGCCTTCCTCTGCTGGGTGGCACCCAACAACGCGGTGGCCAACTTTGTCGGTTCCGGGTTCGGAGGAATGGGCTTCTTGAACCTTTCGCTGGACTGGTCCAACATCTCGACCAACGGATCTCTCTTCCTGACTCCGTGGTGGACGCAGGTTGTCATGTTCTGTGGTTTCGCGTGCAGCTGCTGGATCTTGATTCCGGCGGCCAAGTACGGCCACCTCGGCGAGTGGCACGGGCACTTGATGTCAAACAGACTGTTCCTCGAGAACGGCACGTCGTACCCGATCACGAAGCTGCTTACTGCGGATGTGTCGTTCAACGAGACGGCTTACGCGGAGTACGGTCCCCCGTTCGTCAGCACCCAGGTTCTGTGGACCATGTTCTTGTAAGGAACCCCCCCCCTCGGCCTCTGGAAGTTCCCTCGTATTCTGACCCCTTTTCTTCTAGTGACTATGCTGCTTATACTTCTGCTATTGCTTGGGCTGCTCTCTTCGGCTACAAGACCATCAAGAGCAGTCTCTCGAAGATGATGGACCGCATGAGAAACGGATCGCAAATCAGCACGCAGTACAACGACCAGCTCAGCATCCTACAGCGAAGTTATCAGGAAGTACCCTTGTCTTGGTTTGCCGCACTATTTGCTGCCTCGGCTATCGCCCTCATCACCATCACGGCCACCGGAAACATGTTCATCCCCGTGTGGACCTACTTCGTTGCCATCGGAACTGGCGCGATTCTCGTCGTTCCGCTTGGCTGGCTGTATGCGCTTAGCAATTTCCAGCTGGCTATTGGTACAGTCAATGAGCTGCTTTACGGATTGATGGTGAACTCAGTCAGTGGATTTAAGAACCCGACTGGTGCTTCGGCGTACGGTGCCATTGCCGGAAATGCATGGTACCGCGCGCAGCTCAACCTCCAGGACATGAAGGTTGGGCACTACATGCATCTGAGCCCCAAGGCTGTATTCTTCTCCCAGGTCTTTGGCTCGTTCCTGGGTGTTCCCATCAACTATGCTGTTGTTCGCTGGGTCTTGGACACCAAGTTCGATTACCTTACGGGAGCAAAGGAGGACCCTGCGCATCAGTGGACTGCCCAGTCTCTCACCTCCAACCTCACCATGGGTGTGCAATACGTCCTCATCGGTCCCCGAAGGCTCTTCCAGCAGCACATCTACAAGGTCCTCCCGTACGGCTTCCTCGTCGGCGCCTTCACTCCCCTTCTCATCTACGCTCTTCACCGCGCCTTCCCCCGCGCCAAGTTCCAATTGTGGAACTCGACCATCTTCTTCTCGGCCATGGCTAGCTTCTACGGTAACATCAGCACCGGATACGTGAGCAGCTTGATTGGTGGCTTCGTGGTCATGTTCTGGGCGTACCGCTACCGGTACGACATGTGGGCCAGATGGAACTATATCCTGGCTGCTGCTTTCGACGCAGGATTCAACTTCAACATGCTGCTTACTTTCCTCTTCTTCGGTGCTGGAAAGATCGTCACCATGCCGAATTGGTGGGGTAACGATGCAGCGAGTTCCGAGCGTTGCTTTGCCCTTGACTGAGCTTGCTTGATGGCGAGAAGTTCATCTTCTTGTGTTAGAAGGGATTGTTGTAAACTACCATAAGCAGGAGGCTGTTGTGTTGAGGATAGCATATTTAAATGAATGAGATGAATACTTTATCGTACAAAACTTGCTCACTGGCAGTCAAAGTGATCTCAAGGTACTCAATGGTGCACTAATACGCCAGGACTAAACGAGGGAGCCAAGAAATTCCTCCTGGAAACCTTCTCAAACAGCCTCATCCCCCCCCCCCCCCCCACACCTCAGCGAGCATTGCGGCAGCCTTACTGCCCTTCCCTCTCTCTTTCTTTTTGACCACTTGTGCGAGTTGATGTTTTTATATCGAATTACCGTGCGTTGATTTAGGCATTTGATCCATCCCGTTGCGACCATAGAGGCTGTGGCTGGCAGAGGTTCGTTCCCTTTCATGATCGCATCCGAGATGACAAAATGCTACTCTTGACTTGCATCCTTGCTTCCATCTCCGATAGCCAAAAACTCGCACGAGGTTGTAATTTGCTCATTTCAACATCTATAACCCTCGAAAGAACGCCGTCTTCGCTTTGACTTGAAGGAAGACAGTAGACATTACTCACCCACCCAGAAAAAACGAAGTCGATTTCTTCCACCGAGATCTCACGATGGACATGCCCAGCACTATGTCCCATTCTCATGGCACCGAGCCCATGCCAGTTATCTTCCACACCAAGATGGCCACTGCGCTGTTTTCCGAATCATGGACACCGCGGACGCCAGGACAGTACGCCGGTACTTGCCTCGCTCTCATTGTCTTTACCATCGTACTACGTACTCTGATTGCCTTCAAACCCATGCTAGAAGCGACAGTGTGGGCAGGGGAGTATGAGAAGAGCCACTCGAGAGTCGTCGAGGAGACCGCGCGGAAAGAAAGGTCATCTCCTCCTACAACAAGATCGATTTTTCTCAGAGTTGCGCATGGTGCCTACGAGGTTATCATTGCCCTTCTAGGGTATCTCTTGTAAGTGCTAGCCAATCCCTGCATCAAATGGGACAGCCTTAATAATGTTTGCAGAATGCTGGCGGTGATGTCGATGAATCTGGGATATTTCTTATCTATTCTTCTCGGTGTTTTTGTTGGAACGCTCTGTTTGGGTGGCATTGCGCGCAGCACAACATTTGATCATTGTTCTTGATAATATGAAGCTGGGAAATTCTATGAGTGTCTTCTAGTTGGTATTTTACTACGTATACTGATCTGACTCCTATCGCATAGCAATATTGACCATAATCTGCGGGATTTACTCGTTGACCCATATACACTTGACTCAAAATTCTAGGGGTTTCAAGCAGTCACCCTTGTTATTGAGCTTCTGGTGATCATGGCTGTGACATCACATGAGCAACAACGCGTCTGTCTCCATGAATACCACGTCGGGCACAGATCACGCCGGGTCTAGCCAAACGCGCCCTAGTTGAATATACCCTGTCGTGCCTGTCCAACATGCCCCGCCAATCCTTCTCAAGGCTCTACCCCTCCACCCCTCCAATGCTGTGCCATACCAAGTCGCATTCGCGACATGCCAGTCATCCGAGATGCTGTGCAAAAGCTGCAACGACCTGGCAGATGGACGGAGTAAAGAAGCCGAGCGACATCCCGAACAGGCTCGCGGGCCATCATCAAGCCGCGTCCTCGTCCACCACGCGACGTGGACCTCATTCGAAGATGCCGTCGCTGCTGGCTGCCACCTGTGTACCTCCATACATGAGGAACTGGTGGCAGAGCGTCTGATACCTGACAGCCAACCCGATACGGCGCGATTGTATGTGCAGGCTCACGCGCCTACAAGCATGCCAAGTGGTACCCTTGAGTTCTCGCCGTCCATGTAGGAAACCTGCTCTCGAGATACGCAAGTCGATATAAAAGCCACTGACTGTTCATATCCTTGATAGGGTCTGTCGAACCGGAGCTAGCTTTTACCTGTTGAGGAACCAAGGTTAGACACCATTTGAGTAGAGACGTTGAAGCTTCGAGTGAGTCAGTAACAGCGATCAGGCGATGAGCACGCGGAGTCTTTGCGCCTGGTGGAAGGTGACATAGCCCAGGAGGATAGAGTTCTCACCACTGCGAGAAATTGGCTTGGAGATTGCATTTCAAACCATGCAGACTATTGCGGGAAGGATACGAGTGGGTTTGTTCCGACGAGGCTGCTTGACCTTGGGAGCCCAGGAAGTGATGAAGTGCGGCTGTCGACGTCTGTTCCTACCCATGAGAAGTATGCCACTCTCAGTCATTGCTGGGGCAAGTCCCAGATCTTGACGTTGCGACGAGCCAATATGAAATCTTTTCGGGCTGGTATCCGAGTTGAAACGCTGCCCAAGACCTTTCGAGATACCATTTCCATCCTGAGGAAACTTGGATTGCGTTATCTCTGGATCGATTCCCTTTGTAAGTGGCGTTCTGTAAGTCTGATTGATGATCGGGACCTAAGCGACTGACGGCCATACGTAGGCATCATCCAAGATTCAGTTGACGACTGGCGAAAGGAGTCCATCACAATGGCTGAAGTCTATCGCAACGGCGTCATCAACATTGCCGCGACGACTGCTTCTGGTGGAAATGATGGGCTTTATTTCAAACCTCACCCAATTCACTCCAGGCATCTTCGAATATCTTTCACTCAGCCCATTGATGGCACTTCCCCCGAGGAAACGGGCAACGGGGAAAGATCAAATGTTGTGGAATTTGGAGATTACTTCCTTCTGAATAGCAAAATCTGGCAGCGTGGCGTCGAGGAGGCTCCTCTAAACACGCGCGGCTGGGTTCTACAGGAGCGCCTCTTCTCCCCGCGAGTTGTTCACTTTTCACGTCACCAGCTATTTTGGCAATGCGGCATGGACTACCGAATAGGACAGTTTGCGTACTCGAATGATCGTATAGGATCCTTTGGCAAGGCTTACACCAACCGTGATCCACGCGCATTTTCTCAAGTCCTTTGGCGTCTGAAAGGCATGGCAAAGGAGAAGAAGGATCCGTTCATCCTCGAAGAGGCGTACCTTCCTTGGGAAGAAGTCGTGACGACGTACACGGCGCAGCACTTGACCAAAGGCGAGGACAAGCTTATTGCAGTACAAGCACTGGCGAAAGCTATGGAGGAGGCGGTAGACGATTGCTATGTCGCAGGACTGTGGGAGAGCCGGCTGGTTGAGGATTTGCTGTGGGTGTGTTCGGCGCCGGGTGAGAGGGCGACATACTCGCGTCAGACGACGTGGCGCGCTCCTACGTGGAGCTGGGCTTCGATTGACGGCGGGGCGGTCAAGAAGGCGACGTTGACTGGGAGATATGCTGGGCGGAAAGTGTTTGAAGGAGAAGCTCTTGTCAAGAGTATTAAGCACTACGTGGAGGGGTATGACGGGGTGACGACGGGACAGCTCAAGAGTGCTCGTCTACAGCTCGAAGGTTGCCTTCTAAAGAGTGCCATATCCTGGGAAGGGGAAGCAGTGTTGAGCGACGGCCACGTCAAGGGCATCGGAATGAGATCCCTCGATCCTAGAATTCGCACCTTCATTGTTTGTCCAGACGAGTGGACCTGGGATGGGAATGGCAAACACAACTATCAACTGCCAGCAGGCAGCATCCTGCTTCCGATAGGAACCCATCCCGCCTACAAGGCTGCTGGAACGGACCCGAGTCCGTGTATCGAAGGCTTGGTATTGCACGATGCCGGTCGGAAAGGAAGTCTATCGTTCTATCGCGCAGGCTACTTCAAGCTGGTCGCGGAAGGAACCATCATCAACGCTTGTTTGGCAGGGAAAGCAGGAGCATTGTTTGCGAGGCACGAGAGCGCGTCTGGCGATGGAACTTTTGCTTTGAACTTGTTCTAATTCGGGGACTGTGCCGCGTGGCTTATTGAAAGTATGTACAGGAAGGAAATGTGACCGTGAACAGGTCACAAGAAGACACGGTGGTCTTCAAAAATACCACTCCGATGATGAGGCTTGCCAGCCTTTGAAAACTCAATGATGAACACATGTAACCTAGGCCGTAGCCGAACGCCAAACACCGCCCAATGCTACCCTTGAGTCAGACAAGCAGGCGTCGGAACATCAGTTCCAGTGCCCGCCTTGAGGGAGAAAGACAAAGAAGAAGACACAAGACCTAGAAGACTAGGCATAGTGTGCGAGGGGAGCATCCCTCTTGCCCATGCGGCGCATCATACCGCGAAGGGGACCGACGTTGGCGTCGACGAGCGTGTTGACCCAGACCTTATCCTTGGTCTCCTCGCTCTGACACTCGACGCTGGCGGCACCAAGAAGAAGAGGCTTCATGTTGCCGTAGATGGTCTCGTACTGGCCGGCGTTGGTGACGAAGCTCTCGTGGTAGATGCCAATGTGGTTGTACTGCTGCTTGATGCCGTTGTACCAGTCCCAGCCCTTGCGGTGGATGGGGTCATGAGCGAACTTGTTGAGGCCCTCGACGTCGCGGAAGTAGTAGATGTTGAGCAGGGAGTTGTTGCGCGGGCCGTCGGCGCCGAGCCAGTTGGAGACGTGGTAGAGGCCGTACTCGGAAGCGCGTTGGGCGAGGTCCTTGTTCATCTCCCGGAAGTATTGGCCGATCTCGCGACCGCCAGGGCAGAGGAGGCCCATGGGATGGTTGAAGCGGACACCGAGGTGGAAGACGACGAGGGACTGGGAGGCGGCGACAGCGGGGATGGCGCCAGTGGAGGGATCGGGGAACTGAGCGCTGGTGCGACCGCGGACGACACCCTTCATGAAGGGGTTGGACTTCTCGGAGCGAGTATCGAGGATGGTCGAGACAATAGAGCTGAGACCCATGGCCAAAGGCGGAATGACGGCGTACTTGGCGGGAATGGTGGAGAAGAGGAAGCACTGCATCAAGGCGCCGATTGCTAAGAGGGTAGAGAGGTTGAAGCCATCCTTGATGAGCAGCTGAAAATACAAAGTCATTAGTATTTGCTTTAGTGTGACGTAACACTCGGGTGTGATAATGAAGAAGAACTCACAGGAAGATGGTTGTACGGCTTGGTCCACTGGGGAGACTCGGTCGGCTTGAATATGCCGTGGAACCGCTCAGCGGTCTGGTACTCGGTAGCGGTGTCCATTGCGGGCATAGATAATTCGAGCAACAAGATGTGTATTCAAAGGCGGTTCGTGAATACAAGTGCGATGAGAGAAAGAATTGGGGGATAAGTGTGAATATGAGTGAGAATAGAGTGTGAGTTTGAAGATGAGGCGTAACGGTCGAGAGTGACGATGAGGTTGAAGCTGTCGTGGAACTGTGTGATTTGAACAAGGTTGAAGGGTTGAAGGAGGGAAAGAAGAGGCCGGTCCCTTGGTTTAATATCTCGTCAAAGAAAAGAGAAGCCTGGAAAAAGGTCGTTCGTTAGCGCCTTTTGACTCCTTCCAATACAGCCGTTGACAAGCCTAGGTTGAACACACCAGAGGCCAAAGGTGAACGAGTGAGGGAGTGAATCACTTGAACCCTTGTCTGAATATCGTGGTTTGGTGGGGAAGGATGAATTGAAAGCTTCAGGCCCGAGTCCCGGCTACGTGGACCACCTGGATTTAGAGTGGAAAAAAGAAGCGAATGCGCAGCGGCGCTAGATGATTAGATCGGGACAACAGGCGAGATGGGCACGCGTGTTTGGCGATGGCGGTCGATGAAGGGCCCTAGGTCGTAGACTAACATACGAGAGCGGGTTAGCCTGGGACTCATGAGCGGAGCATCTTGAGTCCTTTTACATGGGGATAGGTACTCGTACCTGCAAGAGACACTCACTCGTTCTCTTACTGAGAAACAATACTAGAGTACTCCCTACTTGGTACGAATAAAGCCACACGGAACGGAAGCTAGAGTACGCCAAGCGAAGAGGAGGAACAACCTTGTCACCGATCAGCCGGGACAATTGACGGCTTTGGGGGAGCAGTTTGGGAGGGTCTGACAGCTTTAGTGCGAGATGACGAATGCCGCTCTTCGCACTCGCTAACACGGACAAACTCCCAGGCCCAACGGCGGTCTAGCGGACGACCGCCGACGTGGACCAGGGACGCGGCCGAGTGGGATGATGGGATGTGATTTTGCCATGACGGCGAATTCTACATGAGCCACATGCGTCAACGCAAAACGCTCCCGGCCCATTGCCCAAGACAAGGCCCCAAACGCCACCACCTGTTCATGCCGACGCTGCTGCGGATGCGGTTTGCGCTCGGGGTCTTGGTGGTCTTGTCGCATTCGCGTGATATTAGGCGCATTTACGAACCGCCGTGTTGTCTTGGATCACTGACCCGCACGTGGCTCCATCGCGTATCCTTGCTGTATTACCAGGAGTCTACCATTGTTCTGATGCAGATTGCTGTGAGCATGACTTTCTGCATGTCAAACAGCCAAATAACAATTAGACGATACAGCAAATATTCTTACGCATTATCGGAGCACCTGCCAATTCCATCTTCGTTGCAAAGCCACATTTGAAAAATCAATTTTGGTTGTAAAGACATAGAGGTCGCGTGAAAAGGCTGCGATAAGTTTAGATGAGGCAGGTTATCTGAATATGGTAGGTAGGTGTAATTACTGAAGACATATTTTATGAGAAAATGAAACTGGCCCAGTGTCTCCTATTGTTTAATTACCTGACATCAACGTGACTCTAGCAAGGCACTTTACCCAGAGTACTCTAGGTAACATTGTATCGTAAATAAAGCATTTCTCCACAAAGCAGGTACGCAGCATCAGCACTTGCCGTTGGGAGGATATTATAGTCGGTATATGAACCATATAGTAATTCTGATAGATGTCACAGCCATTTTGTTCCATAGCTCACGGCCGAGTTCTGCTCAGCGGAATCGTTCCGTCGCTACAACTGAAGACGCCACAATGCTTGGTACTTGATGAGACCCGTGATGCCGCGATTCTCGAGTCCCTAACTCCCAGTCTCGTTCATGCAAGTTCCCGTGCCGAGCAACTCTAGTTTGGTCCATTGAAAACTATGGCCAATCATCGAGTTCTCAAGGGTACCGATAGCCATCACTCACAGTCGAGATTTCGGGAAGTCAGGTTCGCCTAGCCAGCCAGAGCCCCAGAGCGTGATTATTCCGTTAGGGCAGCTCTGTGCAACACGAAGCGGGATGTTACGTGAATGCATGGATCAACTTCCGTAGAAAGGCCTTTCGAGTGCGACGTCGCCTTCCCTGTCTTACCTCTCCCGGGGGCATGTGATCTCTTAGTCCGACTTTGGGGCAGTTTGATCTACCTAGGTAGGCTGCACGATCCTGAGAGGAAAAGGATATACCTAGATCTGGATCGTTCAGTGCATGAAGATATCACGGGCGCCCAGTTGATATTAATACAGCGTGATCGAAAAGAAATGCACAAACGAGTGTCATATTCCTACAAATTTCATTCCGACAAAAAATTCCACAAGCATCAAATCCAAAAATTGTAGCCACAGCCCCCAACCGGCGGCTGGTTCTCGGTGTGGCACAGGGTATCATGAAGCCCCCCAACTGACAGACTCCAGGACGCCGCGCTTCCGAGTAGCTAATTAGACAGGAAATCAAAAACAGGAGGGTCAGGAAGGGAAAATGGGGTGAGCAGTCCCATCTGCCCCGTCAAATTCCCGGCACTGAGGCCACAGATTACCTCAATCAAGCCGATTCATCATCGCCCTTGGTGGCATTGGCGATTTTGATCTGCTCCACGTCCTCTGCCTGGCCCTCGAGGACCTGCATGGCTCGCTTCTCGCGGTTGTGCAAGACCATGATGCCCATCACCAAGCCGGCCTGGAGGATGTTGTTGGCCATGACCCAGAACCAACCGAACTTGAATCTGGGGGCTATTTTTCTGTCAGGAGTCGTCCTATCAATGACTCAATGGGGAACGCGTTTCTTACCTAGAGGTGTAGGGAATGTCACAATGTTCAAGCCTGCGAGAAGAGCCTGGCCGACTGCGTTCATGGAAGCGACGACGACAGCACGCTCTTCAGCAGATCGGAATGTGACCTCGGAAGCCCAAGACATGAACAGCGGGTTGAGCGCACCGCCGAGCCCGGCAACATAAAATGCAAAGAACTTGAGTCCCTCGGGAATATTCCACACGGCCATGCAGATCGAACCGACAGTCATCCAACCGCAGATCCAGATGGAAGGCAGCCAGCGCTTACCCGTCGCATCAGCCCAGTAGCATCCAACCAACGCCGCCACAATAGAAATTGCAGACTGTCCGGTGGGAAGGTTGTTAATCTGGCTGATGGAGTAACGATCGTTGTTCGCCTTGAGATACAGGTTGAAAGGCTGTCCGTTGGTGATCATGGCCTGGTTGAAGACAAAGTACAAGCCGACAAAGGCGTACCAGTGCCAGCCCTTGAAGACGTCGGTGATGGCCTTGCGGTCGAACTTGACCTTGGGGGCCTCGGATCCACCCTCGGAGACGCGGCGGCGAGCAAGGGCGATTTGGTCGGATGTCAGGAGCCACGAGGGGTTCTTGGAATCGGGTCGAGCGGGGAAGACGACGGCGCCGAGGATGGCTACCGGGAGGGTGATGCAGCCGCAGACGATGAAGAGCCAGCGCCATCCCTCGAGGCCATTGACGCCGTTGAGGTTGGTGTAGCAGGCGGTCTGGAAGTAGCCGGCAAACATCTGATTGTATCATGTTAGCCTTGCACCGTTGAAAGTATGGAACAGAGATGCACTCACAGTTCCCAGAGGACCCGCAACGTAGAACAAACTCAGCCGACGTGAGATCTCGGTGCTCTTGTACCAACATCCGATGCAGTAGATGACGCCAGGATAGGCCACACATTCAAATACACCACTGAAGAATCGGATGATATAGACATGCTTGATATCTTTGACGAAAGCCGTGAGAAGAGTCAGGATGCCCCAGAGGATCTCGAACGCTGGGATAAGAATGTTGGGCCTGCGAAGGTGTCCGTGTCAGTCTTTGTGCTCAATTTCGAACATATAAATTTCCAACTATTTTTCTGGGCCTATTAGACTTACCGAACACGAGTGAGAATGATGTTGGAGGGAATCATGGCAGCGCAGTATCCTGCTTGGAAAACACCAGTGGTGTATTGCAAGTCATTGCCTTGCATGCCAACATCCTCTTTCATTCCACTGACGTAGGCATTTTGGAAGGCTTGGAGATCGAGGAACTATTGACAAAGTCAGTCAACATAACACGGCCTTGTCAAAGTCGCAACTTTGACTCACCTTTGTGAAGAAAGTGAGGCAACCAAAGGTCAAGATCATGAAATCCTAGCACTTGTTAGAAGCTGCGTGATTGTTCCGCATTCAGACCCAGTGGACCTACAAGCTTGCGCAACAACACCTTCTCTTCCTTGGAGGTATTACGCTCGTACCAGCGCCACTTGTCCAGCCAACTGGCATTGGTAACTGGCTCCTCACGGACGCTCGTAGCCACGGTGTCGCCCGCCATGGTGTAGTTCGTCGGTCTCCGAGGCAATTCGCACGTAGGAAACTCGGGCTCAGCAACACGTAAGCCGTACAACCAACCGAAATTGGTCACTGAAAGAGTTTTGCAGCTTCGTCGAGGTGGAGCTGACGAACAGAATGCTGTCAAAGGGCAACGGGGAGTTGATGAGAGGCGGAGCAGATGAGTAGGGGGCTGCTGCGGTCGGAACAAGCAGAGGCGGACGAGGAGTAGTGGCGTGATCGCGTATTATACTCAATGCACCCGTCTATCTCTCTCCTCATGCTCCTCACGAAAGGCACGTCTCGGCTATTCACAACCGGATTTGGGAGTTGTTGGTTGGCATTGAGAGGCGTGGTGCCCTTCATTGCCCCCCGAACGTAGTTACGTGGTGTTGCAACGCGCGCCAGAGATAGGCATCACCGGACAACCCAAGCGAGTCGTGAAAGTACGCCCCAAGGAGTTGACAGGGCATGCTCCACCTTCGTCCACACAAGCGGGATGGTTGCAGAGAGACTAGAGAGAGACTAATTACCATGTCAAGTAACCAAGCTGGGAGATAAGGAGGGGGGATAAGCGTTGGTGTGTTGCAAGGATCAGACGAAGCTAAATGGTGGAGCTCCTCATAGTTGTCAAGCCATGCCCGTATCTCTCAAGTCTGAATCCCTTCAG